TAAGAATAATAATGATGTTTTCGCCGCGCTGTGATGACATCAGGTATGCGCTTTCGTCGAGCGCGCTTTACTCTACCGCGGTTTTGTGGTGGAACCATATTCATGTCTACACTCATACACGCACAAGCCCAAAAATATAGGCAAAGTGAAGTGAAAAAGTCACTCCCTCCAGATGATGGAGGTGCCCATAATGGCACAGCAATCATCAGCAACATCATTATTATTCTTATTATCCTTGATTGTCTCTTGCAAATATGGGTGGAGCATCAATACGGTTGGCATGTATCGTTCTGTAAACTGGTCTTTGATTCGTGACGTATTTCTTCAAAATTGTGATTCTCTAATGCCAATAATGCCATATGCTGTATATACGGTACTGTATAGTATGAACAAATCCCAAACGTTAGCTTTTCAACTAATGTTCTCTTCCTGAAATGGTATCACATACCATAAATTCCTTGTGTGTCCAATCACACTTGGCCAATAAAGAATTCTATTCCATTCTGTTCTGTTCCATTCTGTTCCATTTCATTTCTATTTCTATTCCAATGATTATGTATACAATAAATTGTTACTTCTACAAATGCAACATAATAATAAAGAATTTAATATTTAAATGGTTAACTTATCAATGTTGGTCTATTCATTTTTCAAATTTGGAATATCCTACAAAAAGGGCACGGCCCTTACTTAGCTGATACACTTCTTCTAATAAGGGGGAGATAGCATCCATCTATGGGTTGACACTGTTTGTACTCTGATTGTAGGCCCTATCCGTTGCTGTGAGCCATTGAGGTAGTCACCTGATTGAGGTGTTGAAAATGGCGGCTGTGACTGATCTGGGCTCCGCCCCCAGTCAAAATGGCGTTCATGTGCTTTTTGATTGATCCGGGGCAGCTAGGCCCACCAGAGGCTGCATAGGCCTTGCGGTTCTGGATGGTTTGCACGGGGGTGCATGAGCTCCAGGAGTGAAACCGTTTCGCGCCCAACCTCTCCGGCACTCAGAAGTAGCGTCGGGCTGCCTCATGTGCGTCCGGGTGATGGGAGAAGGCGCGCATAGCGCGGAAATGCCTGAGACAAACGTCCGCTCCTTTCCCCTCAATTAGACAGTCACGACGTGACAGTAGATAATCAGGACACACACTGGGTCGAGGCCCCTTGGCTATGAACTATGGCCTGGAATGGTCGGGCCAGAAGTACTCACGTCTCCAAACCTCAACGCAGCATTCAGCCACTTGTCGTAGAACGTTCAAAGTCACAATTATAAGAGAAAGTTGGATAACCCGATCGTCCCAGAGTTGACTGAGTCGAAAAACTGGATGGAGTCACACCAGGATGGGGTTATTGCAAATTAATTAGTAATCAGACTCAGTCCAATCAGAGTACGGACAGTGTGACCCCATACAATAGCAATAGCAATAGCAANGAGTTTACGTGGCCTACAACTTCGTGGCTGAGTTGCTGTCATTCCCAAACATTTCCACGTTCTTATAATACAGCTGAAAGTTGACTGTGGAATATTTAGGAGCGAGGAAATTTCATGACTGGATTTGTTGCACAGGTAGCATCCTATCACAGTTCCACTCTGGAATTCACTGAGCTCCTAAGAGCGACGCATTCTTTCACAAATGTTTGTAAAAACAGCCTGCATCCCTAGGTACTTGATTTTATACACCTGTGGCCATGGAAGTGATTGGAACACCTGGTTCTGATTATTTGGATGGGTGAGTGAATACTTTTGGCAATATAGTGTATGTTCTGATGTAAAAGCACTGGGCTAGTATCCAGTGGTAACATATCATTGCTGCTCAAAACACCTGATTGGTTTCAGTATAAAAGTTCTAATTCTCTATTTTTATCTGTTTTATTTTTGATAAATAAAACTTCTGGATTTATGGTCACAGTAAAGATTTGATGTGGTCATTCTTACTTATCTACTAGAATTTAAAAAACGTTTCAAGATTCTGCTCCAAGCTTGGCTCTAAGTGGACAATTTCCAGAAGCATTATGCTAATTTCAGCTATGACAGTTTGTTGACCTTACAATCAAGGGGAAAGGAAAGAATAAAGAATGATAGGAAAATGAATTTTGACCTACATCTGCACAACACTAAGATATGAACCAAGAAACTCAAAGTGCAACCATATCCTATTTCCATGCAGCTAGCAAGTTTTCTGATAACTAACTAAAAAGGCAGTGTTGTTGTCTTTTCAGTCTTCTAAATGAAAAAAGGGATCAATGTGAAATTTCTTTACCTGTTGGTATCCCAAATGATGACATTTCCATCAAATCCCGATGTTACTAGCAATCTTGTGTTAGTATCATATTCAATATTCTTCACCCAGCTGGTGTGACCATGTAAAGTGCACACTTTTGAATCTAGCTTCCTCAGATCCCATAGTGCTACGGTAGTATCATCAGAGCAAGTTGCAAACAATCTGTTATCAAGAAACCTACAAATAAAATAAAAAGGGAAAGGGACAGGATCTCATTAATGCAGTCAAGTTCAAACATAATTAAATCATAACGCTAAATGTTACCCTGCATTGATTTCAAAAAATAATTATACCATATAGAATAGTATCAGTTTGATGCTTTTAAAGCATCTGACTTCTGAAAGACTAAAGCAGATCTCAAAAATGGGCTGCAGTGCTTGAAGTGAGAATTTGCAGACCTGCTGGTTTAAGAAATATCAGAAGAAGTTTTCTAAGGTGGCCAATTTTATATTTGGCTTATTTAGTAAGAATGTATTACAGGTACCGTTACTTTGTCATTTCACAATCCATGAAAAAATACCTCATTTGAAAAGAAACACACATGTTAAATGAGTATAAATGATTATATCATGTTCAATTATTAGCTTGCATATGTATTCATTTTTAAAAATGTTTGCTAGTTACTAACGAAGAAATGCGTTCAATCAAATTTGAAATTAACCAGATACCTTTCACCTTGGCTGGCTGATAAGGAGTCGAGCTCTGTGGCTCAATGGTTAACACATCTGCCTTAGAG